GCTGCAAGGCCGGCGGTGGCAGCCGGGACCGTTGGGGGTGGGGTGTGTGGCCTTATGACACACTTCCGGTGATGTCAGGGGGGCGCGCCTTATGACGCACTTCCAGTAATGTCAGGGGGTGTGGCATATGCTAATGAGTTATGCTAATAGGTTCCCCTAGCTCTTTTTCTACGAAATGACCCCTGAGGAGAAGCTTTCCACACATTAAGCCTCTATTAAAGTGAAAGCACATTTTTCTCCAGGCAGCTGGCAAGACTAATTCTGGGCAATTTCCATACCTGGGGGTTGTTGTTTTTTACTCTCAATAACCTTAGCAACGCTTCTCCATTTTTACAAACTATTTGGAAGGTCAGTGTCACACTTTGCTTCTTTTCGGAGACTCCTGATACACAACTCCTGTAATGGCCCATCTGTAGATGTTCTAAGATGATGCGTGTTATGCTGTCTCCTTGCCTTCCTTAGAATTTCCTACTTATCTTCACTGCCACCAAAGGTTCTTGCCTTAGAATTCTTAGTTGGACCCAAAGAACAGGGTGGCTTAGTTATATTTGGTAGAATTACAGCATGTGGGAGTGGCTCTGGGATAAAAACGAGTCCTTTACAGTGACTAAATAAAACAGTTCTTTTCACTTAAAACATAAATATAGTTTACTTAGAAGTAAAACAGCATAATGGTTTCAATATGGTTCATATGTGTAATTGTTTCAGATATGTACAGTTCTTCTTAAATAGACAGCCACAAAGGCTTAATTTCCCCACTTGCCAGTTAGGCTAATAACTTCCACAAAGAACACAGATTTCTCTCACATTCCACAGCACCCTGCTCAACTTCTTTCTCGCCACTCTACAAACCAGTCAACTGTGCCCCCTAAGGTACATCTACCATCCAATCATAATACACTTCACTTATCTACCCAGCCCCCCCTTCTAAATCTACAAGCCCACATTTCAGATCACAGCAACATTTTAAACTCTACATTAAAACACAGAAATAAAATACACAAAATATTTACATAGCAAAACACCACAGGCAGAAAACTGCATAATACTGTCATTATTATAGCATTCTCACTTGCTATTGTCTGCCCATGAAACTTCAGTCAGAGCAAGCCAGGCTGTGGTTTTGTTTCTCCTGGTCAGTAGGCAATCCTGTACTTTGATCACTCTGTAACCACCATAATTGTGTGATCAAAACTTAGGATGATGTGACCTTGGGACTATCCCTGATGCATGAAACCTCATCCTGGTGGAAGCCAAAGGCTGTAATCCTGCATGCAGTTACATGGGAATAAGCTCCCTTGAACTTGAAGGGATTTCTGAAAAAAATGTGCATGAACTCATGATCACTCAATGTGGGTTAATGACATCTTAACATCCTTTATCCAAGCTATGGCATTCAGAATGAGAGCTTTGTTTTCCAGTCTTTCAATGTATGTTCATGAATAGAGTGAGGATGCCAATTCCCATTTAATAAATTTGCATTTGCAGAACAGGGTTAGTAGTTAATGTGAACAAATTAAAATATAAGGCTATGACTGTCTATGGCAAAAAATAACTACCAAAGAACCCTGGCTGTGAAAAGTATTAAACGAAAATAATTACTTGGCTTTCCAAACCTTTTCATTGGGGGGGGGGGATACGAAGAGTTTACATATGCAAATTCCAATATTCTTGAACATCTTCTTGCACCAAGCCAATTGCCAGCCCAAACAAGGCACATATTATAAGTCGCCTTGAATTTTGTAAGGGAGAAAGGTGGCTAATAAATGTTTTGCATAAAATAATAATAAAACAAACCTTCATCTACCTGTGGTCTAACAAATGCTTGCAATGCTGAGGCATTGCATGCATACATACCTTTACTGGGCTATTTCATATTCTTTTAATTAGTACCTTGTTCTCATAATTTTATTTAAGACAAAAGGATACCTAAAGAATTCTGATCAGAAGCCAAAGACGACTCAGCTTCTGTAGTACCGCTGTTGTGACATAAGGCCAGACCTTGTGTCAAAGTGGCAATCCTCATTTTTACTTCTATGGGGTGCTGGCAACCTTAAGGGTACAGCCAGGGGTAGTTATCCATTTGGGTTATTGGAAATGTTTCATCAGCTAGCTGAGAACCATGGACTACTTCTGGAGTCCAGTTCCTATGCCAATCTGAGACCATTCTAGTCTCTGTTTATATACATAGATGTATAAGAGCTGATTCCCTGGCAAGTGTTCTTGGCTGTAGTTTCTTGCTTAATTTCCTGTTCTAATCTCCTGTTTGAAGTAGTACATGAAACAGACTTCTCCAGCTTTTAATGGATTTGTATTTCACATGAAATAGCCGAAAAGAAAGGGCAGAGGGGTATCAGTCTTCTTGTCATGTGACTCAATACAGCAAATGGAAGCTGTGTCTTGCCTTGTATTACTGTATTAAGGATATGTTACTTCAGCTTTTATAAATATACACAAAGAGGATCTGTTAAGACTCCCAGGACACAGAAAAATCCCATCCCATCCCCCGCCACACCCCAAATTCTCCCTTTAGTCAGCCGCTCCTTTTAAAAAAATCAAAACATTTTTTCCCTTGAGTTTCTTGTATTTGCAAATGAAAGAGGTATTGCAGATTACTGGGGAAGGGGATTTATCCCATTTTTAGTATTCATCTGCAAACCCAGGGGTTTTCCCAGGTTTGCAGAAACATACATCCATATCCTAGGTACCCCCCATGAACTTTTTGATCTGCACCTAGGGGGCCACCTATTCATATTAAATATATTATGAATACCCTGATCTGTATAGCCAGGTTTGCCTGATCTCATCAGATTTCGGAAGCTAAGCAGGGTTGGCCCTGGTTAATATTTGAATGGGAGACAACCAAGGAATATCCAGGTTGCTATGCTAAGCCAAGCAATGACAAATCACCTCTGAACAGGTCTTGCCCTTATGATGACTCTACTGGGTCATCATAAATTGGCTGCAGCTTGACAGTAAAAACCCCCAAATATAAATTTGGTTTGTTACCAGTTGCCTTAGGAAGTATGTAGTAGTGAATTGCTTGCATAGAGCAATTTATCTTTAATTAAGCAAATAATGTGATAAGTAATTAAGTTTAGTAATTGATGTAGATTAAGCTAATGACTTATTTATCTGGAAACTCAGTGGAACACAGATAAGGCATTTTGGAGGTCATTAATTCATAGAATCCCTGTGAAGCAACATGACTGTACTTAACACACATTAAGTACATTAAGTACTTCTGAAGACACATGCTTCAAATAGAATTGCATAAATGTTAAGTCTCCAGTGTAATGATTTCTGTTTCTGTCTCTTTAGCCATTGCATGACTTTAAGAAAACTTCTATTATTAGCCTGAATCTTCAAGCTATACCACAAGGAGAATATTGAGCCCAGTGGGTAATTTTTGAATAAGCTTTGGACACTCGCGTTGCAATCCTGCGCTCATTCCAAGTCTACCGAGTGCAACTCTACACAGGAGTTGCACTACTGTTGTTATGTAAATGCTAAGGTTTCCATTCCAAGAGTGCAATCTTATGTAGAGTTCCTCGTCTTAAATCCATTGATTTTCATGGGTTTAGAGGTGACTAAGGGAATAGGACCGCACTGTTAAAGAGTGGTGATAATAGTGTTTACGTAACATCTGATGTTCAAGTTTTCAGATCTCTAGAACCAATGGGTTTACTTTAGACTGGAGTAAACTCAACACAGACCTGCACTATAAGTAAGCACCGAAAAATCACCCCTTAAGTTTTTAGACAGCTGTAGCAACGTTGGGTTGGTTTCGCGTAAGGCCCAAAGGTCTAGCCTCACAGCATTGTTGTGTAGCCCAGTCCTTCGTGGGTATGCGCAGAAGCAAGCAGACTTGAATGAAACGGTACTACCCCCACCTAAGAGGGCACACAGGCCTGACGCCGGAGCCTATAAAGGTTCACTCGGAAGGAAATCCCACCTCCCCCCCCCCTCAAAGGGGCTTCATCATGCCGGCCAAGCGGGCGACCATGCCCTGAACCCTTATGCATGCACCCTCCCTTAGCACCATAGCTCTCCGTGTGCCAGAACGCCGAGGGTACATGCCGAGAGAGGGCGAAAGCTGGGAAGAGTTCCACGACCAGCCCGCGATGGGGCAAGGCAGGGGCCGGAGCAGCTTCCCTCACAGGCCTTAACGGGGACTCCCGAGGACAGGCAGCGCGGGAAGCCCCTCCCCCCTCGCCGGAGGGCTCGAGTGGGGGCAGGCAGAGCAGGCCGAAGCTGAAGAGGCGCCAGCCGCAGACGACCTGCGTGTGTAACAAAGCCTTGGTAACGTGGTTGCCACCGCAGCGCCGGGCGCCTGGTAACCGGGCGTTGCCTCTTTAAGCCACCGGGGGGCGGGACGGGGGTGGGGACATTTTCTTCTTAAAAGGAAAAAAAAAACACAACCCCTTTTTTTTCCACCGCGCCCTCTTCTCCGTTTGGCTGCCTGCCTCTTTCCGCCAGCCAAGCTGCTCGCTGGGTCCTGGAGCCCTCAGCCGCCGCCGCCTCTCTCTTTTCTTTTCCCCCTTCCTCTTCCTCCTCCTCCTCCTCGCGCGCGCCCCTTTCCCTCCCATGCGGGCGGCGAGGCAGGAGTCTCCGGCGGCAGCGCAGCCCCAGGCGGCCGGCTCCGGGCATGTCCCACTGCTCTCGCCGCTGCTGCTGCTGCTGCTGCTGGCGCCCCTTGCGCTGAGCCCGGCCGGCTGGCGTCGCCGCTGCCGCCGCTGCCGTGGAACGAGTCGCCGCACTGGGGGCCACTCATGAGCGCGGAGCCGTCGCCTCCGCCGTCCCGCGCCGCCTCGCAGCTCCGCGCTCTCTTCAGGATGGGACCCCCCGCCGGGGGGGGGGGGGGGGGAACGACCCCTCAGTGGCGGGTCTTTTTCCCCCATTCCCCCCGGGGGGGGGGGGTAACTGGCTTCCTGCCTTGGAGGCACCTGCCTTCTCCTGAGAGGGGAAACGCCGGTGCCCTGAGGCGACGCGGAAGCGCTTCCTCGGCGGCAAGGGAGGGGGGGGGGGGGCAAGGAAGGAAATAAAGAAGTTTAACTTTCCCCCCCCGACTTCATTGTGCGGAGGAGGCGGCAGTAGGAGGCTTCGCCTTCCCCTCGAGGACAACGACAGCACTCGGTGCAAAAGGGGTTGCGGGAGGCGCGGATTGCTCAGCATTTGTCCCGTTTGTGTAGCCCCGCTAGTTCATCCTGGAGGCAATCCCAAGGGGATCCTAGCTTGCCTTTGCGTGGACACGAGTCCGCTTTCTCAGGTCTGACGAAGTGGACTCTGATCCACGGAAGTTTAAGCTTGGAATGAAATCGTGTGTTAGTTTCACAGATTCAGACCTCTGCTTTTGCTTCCAACCGACGAAGACGGCTTTTACTCCCCCGGAGACTTAAAGAGTTGTTGGGGGGGGGGGTGACTTCTTACTGAACGTGTTTAGGATTACAGTTTTAATGGGATTTCCTAATCCTAATTTCAGACAGCGATGTTCTTCCTATTGAGAATTGTGAGCTATTTTGTAGTAAATGATCGATCAACTGTGACTCACTGTGAGACTGTGGGGGTTTGCCTTAAAAATTACCGCACTACACCGTCACTCTTCTCTCTCCACCCCCTCTTTTTCAGACCGACTCTATTTTGCGACTTTACGGAACAGACCAAAAAGCACAATAAACACCCACTATTTCTGTACGGATGAGGAACTTGTCTATGAAAAGTAAGCTTGTTGGTTATAATTTTTTACTTTCTCTTCTTCGACTGCCTCTGGTCACTTTCATTTTCTAGTTTGAAGTGCGTGTGTTGGCAAGTAGAGTTCTTACTTTCCCTTAGATGTTATGAAAAAAGACTAACTAGAAGTGAACTATACTCATTTTGCATACCTGCATGTGTTAAATGTCCTTCCAACCTAGCAGTTCGAAAGCAAGAAATTGCAAGTAGATAAATAGGTACCACTTCAGTGGGAAGGTAACAGCGTTCTGTGCACCTTGGTGTTTAGTCATGCCGGCCACATGACCACGGAAACTTCTTCGGACAGCGCTGGCTCTTCAGCTTTGAAACGGAGATGAGCACTGCAACCCTAGAGTCGGACTCGACTGGCTTTCGAGCAAGGGAACCTTTACCTTTACCTTTTATGTGTTAAATGAGCTATTTATAAAGCTCTCAAGCGTAACTGCATCTGGTCAGTCTTAAATAGAAAATCCCCCCATCTTAGTTGCTTATTGTAAAATTAGTAGTACTTGTGACAGTTGTGAGAACCTGAAATGAATTTGTTTTTAAAGCATCCGAATAATTTGTGGTGCTTTCATCTCTTAAAATCTGGTTTATAAGGTCGGAACAAATTTAGTTGTCTCTTTCTACCATTTGATTTAAAAAGTGGCTGAGCTATTTCTCTGCACTTGCCAGTTGTATTTGATTAGCAATTCACCATAGTAATGTATGTTCAGTGTTTAAGTATTGAATGCAGCGTTTCAGTAAGTGGGTACCGTAAAAAGAAAATTAGTTTCTGGTTGAATTCCTTGTAGATTCTTAGACTGTCTTCCATTATTCTGTCATGCAACATGTTGAGCAGTCCCAATTACAAACTGTTATCAGAGAACTCTGATAGTCTCAAGAAGTTCTTAATTATTGACTCTGTAAAATGTTTTTATACGGAGGACTTCTTTTATTAATCATGTAGCATACGTCTCTTTGAGGTATAGCATGGTCTTGGAGGCCCACAAGACTTTTACGATAAAGCAAGGGAAGAGATTGACACTATCAATGCAGAAAAATTATGTGGTATGACTTTATTGCCTGTCAGTGATCAGCAGCACTGTAATGAAACACAAAAGAATCAGAGAGAATTTGAGGAAGGATGGATACTTAAAAATTTAAATAGCGTGAACCACTCTTCTGTCATGTTAGTGTTGCCTAGTGGCAGGGGCTTCCCAGAGTCTCGGGTCTTTTGATCCAAAGAGACTTGCTGCTTTTAAAATCTTTTTGGTGGGTGCTTGGCATGTCTTTATGTGTTCAAGAATTATGTGTTTTGAGCCCTTTTTATTACTTTTTGTTTTTTAACTTGAAGTATAATTGGGGGAGAGGAGGTTGATGAAAGTGTCTCATGATTGGCTGATCCATGTGGCAGTCAGCATTCCCTGCCCAGTCTAATAGGTGACTTCAGCACTGTGCACAGCTAGCTAACCAGGGAAGGCAACTTTTAAAGGCTGTCTGCATGCTGTGTTTTCTACTTGCAGGGAATTGTTCAAGGTAACTTTGAAAAATCTAGTCTCTCACCTGAAGTATTAAAGTTCTGCCCATTGTACCACCTCAGCAGTCTGTCACCTCCTTCCACAGCATGGGTAGACTAGTGTCCTGCTCACCAGGTTGGAGGCAAGTCCCAGGCAACAACAGATTTCTTAGCAAGGGTTATGGGGTTCCAGTCCAAGTCCAGAGTTCAGTAGCACAGTCCAGAATCATGGTCCAAAAGTAGTCCAAGGTCAGGTCCAAGAGTTTAAACAAGGCAGGTAACTGGTAGAATCATCAGCAGGGTTGCAGATATGTTGATCCCACACTCGCTGCAGCCCCAGATACAGAGTTGTTGGTGGACTGCACATCAGGCTTCTTTTCAGAAGCTGAGTCTGCTTCCCTACTCATGTGGAGTACTAAGGCCCTGATCCTGTGGTGACTTACCTGTCTCTCCAAGCATTTCTTTCTCAGAGGGAAGTCTCAGGTTGTCAGGCATGTACTCCTGCACCTGGTCCATGCCTTAGCCATAGCCCTGTTCCTGGGGTGCTTCAGGAGACTGTGGGCCAGTCCATGCTGGGACATTCAGGCTTGCTGGATCAGAGTCCCCTTAGGGTAGCAATGGAAAGTTCATCTCACTGGGAGGGTCTGCCACAGTGGGGCCAAGGGGCAAGTTGTCCTACTCTGTATTCCCATGCTAACCCAGGGTGGTCCATGACAACCAGACTAGTAACTGCCTTCCTGGCTACAATTCCATGTTGATGGACCACAAATGAGACTTCACACTTCAGTTGTAGAATATTGGAGAATCTCCTTACTACTTTCTGATGCTTTGTGCCTGGTCCAATAAAATATCAGTTTGATAATTGAGGAGGACAAAAATCAATTGTTTTTATTTTAAAAAATGGAACCTTAGTGGGTGTTTTTGTTTTTGCTTCAACTACAAAAGATTTTTAGTCTTGTTTAAAGTATAATCTGAATCTGATGCAAATACAGATTTTAAAGCCAAATTTATGACTTGCTCATAAAGGGCTGCATTTCTCTGTTTTGAAAGGACTGGGGAAAACATCTGTGTCAGTTATATAGTATAACTGATAATATACGTGATTGCACCGCTTGGGAACAGTGATAATAATGTTGAGTTCAACATTTGTATAAATAGGGAATTGGCCAAAAAGACTGACACAACCACTTTCAACTTTAAAAGGGGTAACTTCTCTGATATGAGGGGACGTGTGGGGAGGAAACTGAAAGGAAAAGTAGAAAGGGTCAAAACCATTGGGGAAGCTTGGAAACTATTTAAAACTACGATCCTAGAAGCTAAAAAAAAATAATATCCCCAGGTTAAGGAAAGGCACAAACAAGTATAGGATAAAGCCTGCATGGTTAACAAACAAAGTAATGGAAGCTGTAAAAGGTAAAAAGGTTTCCTTTAAGCAGTGGAACGCTAGTCACAGTGAGGCTGATAAAACGGAACACAGGCTGTGGCAAATAAAATGCAAGTCTGTGGTCAGGCAGGCAAAAAGGGAATATGAGGAGCATATAGCAAAAAACTTAAAAACCAACAATAAAACTTTCTTAAAATAAATTAGAAGCAGGAAACCAGCCAGGGAGGCAGTGGGGCCCTTGGATGACCAAGGGGTAAAAGGAGTACTGAAGGATGATAGGGAAATGGCTGAGAAGCTAAATGCATTTTTTGCCTCTGTCTTCACTGTGGAAGATGAGAAGTGCTTGCCCACTCCAGAACTGCTGATTTCGGGAGGGGTGTTGAAAGACCTGAGTCAGATTGAGGTGACGAGAGAGGAGGTCCTGAAACTGATAGACAACTTAAAAACTGATAAATCACCAGGCCCAGATGGCATACATCTGAGAGTTCTGAAAGAACTCAAATTTGAACTTGTGGATCTCCTGACAAAAATATGTAAT